AGCAAAAGTAGAAACTGTAAAAGACTGATGACTGTAAAAAAACAATCCAGTTAGGAGTCACTAGATAGAGAAAGGCAAAGAGTAAGTCTAGGAGCAGATATTTCACACTGAGTATTATGACCCACAGGGAAAAAAAGCGACTTCTCAGTTTTTAAATAATACAATACCTCTAACACAAGTGGAGGGAGCTCTAGGGCCTTCTGGTAATAGTGGATCGCAAGATGCATCAGCCCCAACTGATGAAGGCCACGACCCAAATTGTAGAATGATTCCTGGCAAGGCCCACGTAGACTGAGGTATCGATTAAGAAAGGAAAAGCCCTACCAAAAATAAAAAGATAAACAATTCGATATTTTACTCATTTGACAAGTATGTACTGAACCACTATAACCATGTATTACCAGGTGCTAGGAATATAAATTTTTAAAAAGGCATAGCCAGCCTTAAAAGAACATTGTCTATTTAGTGTATGTCATGTTACTGTGTAGTACCACAGTGGAGGTAGGTATCAGTATTCAGCTCTTTTGAAGGTATAAGAGTATTTCTTTCAGCTAAGCACAAAAATATTCACAGAAAATAGCCAAATATTACACCTATCTCCTAGAGTATAATCTCTAGTACACTGTATGTTTTTTAATGGTTTCAAGTTGGCTTTTGTGGCATTATAGGCCAATAAACTTTTTGGCTTGAGATAAATGTCTAAAACCTTGAGCAAAGATATCAAACCCAAGCCCTTATAATGGTAACTTAGAAAAGTTTACTCTGAGGAGCAAATTTACTTACTTGACTATATTTAACCTTTCAGAGTAAGTTGTACCTTTTATAATTTACCTCGGGACCATAATAACCTCTTAACCCAAAAAGCTGGCATTTTTTTTTTCCCTGAAAGCTTCTGACCCAAAGACATCATGGAGGAAAACTATTTCAGAGCAAAGCAATAATGATGCAGGCTCACTGTGTGTTATTATGTCCAAAAAACACTTGCTGTTTCACCCCATATTCAACTTTCATCATCTATTGAAAGTTACAGAATGCAAAGGTACATGTGTCCTAATAGAATATGCTACCTAAGAATTAGGAGTAAATCAACTTATTTATGAAGGGTGATTTATATAATAAAATGATCACATAGAATATTTCTATTATTTGGTCTTCTATTTTTATGTTTAAAATATTTCTATTATGTAGAAATTAAACATAAAAATAGGAGGAGAAAGGAATAGTAGTCCCAAATGAATTGTAACCCAGAACTTTTAGATAAAAATTTCTAAAAAGGCAGCAGGTGACTCCTATTATTTTAACAAATTTAAGAGGATAATCTCCTTGACAACTGGAAAATGATTCAAATAATATTTAGTGATACAAAAACTAACATGGGCTTTATCCTGTAAGTACTATGAATAATCAAATATAAAACTGCAAAGAAAAGATAAAAGCACATAGTTTAAATGGAAAAGTTATTTTGATGTTAATTATGTTACATTTCAAACATTTTTATCAAATTAATCTCTAAAAGGCTCAGTGTGTTCACTATATAAGATTAAATAAAGGTAGAAGGAAACACAATTTACTCTTAAAATATGATATAAAGGTAAGAAATATAGTAAACTACAAAAAATACAAATACAAATGAATTACCTGCACAATAAGAGCATGTCTCCTTAACACATACTTCTGAGATGCCATATGTATAAAGGTTAGGCCTATACAGAGGCTGTAGAGTGGTTCATGGGGATGGGTACGAAAGGCTTGTACGTACTGTCCTGGAAAAAGAGCAGTGGTGTCAGATGCTGGGCCAAGAACAACATTCCTTATTTCTTTAATACTTAATCAAGTATAGTTTAAAGCTAAACATCATTGATTTTAACCTATACATGGTATATATTCTATCTGAAATATCAGCCTGTTAATCTGAATTTTACAACAATGTATAACATATAACACAATTATAAATTCCCCATGAATGCGTCCTGACCATGAACATTAGTATGAATAACTGAAACTAACTTTTTCTAGGCAGTTAGGCATTTCCATGCACAGTAATAGTTCTAAAATAAATAATTTATCAACTGTGATCATAAATAAATTTTATGATCTTAATTCTATTTGGAAAGCAATGAAAGAATTTATCTCTGGTGACTTCTTTTGTAAATTATAAATTAAAATGTAATGGATCATGGAAGTAAGAAAAGGGAAGATTTTTGTTTTTTATATTATGGGTGTTGTTTTCCCAAATGTAGCAACTATTCTGTTTTTCCTGAGAGCTAAATGTTTCCAATAATAAAATAAGAATTGAGGGGTTTTATGAATTCCATGCATTTCATATTTACAATTACCTCACATCAAAAACCTAGAAAGAGGGACTTAAGCAAATTTTTCTTGTGAAGGAGTAATATATATCACATATAAATTAAAAACTTCTACAAGGAATGGCACCAAAGAATCTTTCATAGCAAAGATGGTAAATTATCCTTTGGATTTTTCTAGTTTTACCTTTTGTATACATTTCTGAGATGAATACCTATTTTATATTTTTGTAATATTAAACAATTCCCAAAAACACACCAAGGAAGAGGAAAGTTTAAACATTTGATGTATAAGGTCTCTGAACAAACTTAAAAACACCAGCCATACATGAAGAATCATGAAAGTATTAGTCAAAAATCAGTTTATTCAGAAGAAGTGAACTTGGCAACACTAGCTTTTAAGCAGCTGGAAATACATGCCTAATTTTAACATTTAGTTAGGTATTTTTCTGCTTGTTTCTGATTCTTTAATAACAATTCCTTACTATAAATGATAAATTAATTTTCTGAGTTTAGTTAGAATTAAGCACCATATAAATAAATCTCAATATAAAGATTTGTCTCCTAAAGGAATGAATTATCAACAAATCTTAAATCCTTTTTGCACTATAGTAAATTAAAATTAGGAGGAAAACATCCATAATTAATGAAAATTATTTTTAAAATAAGCCTATGAAGGGAAAATTCTTAACGTTTACAATGAATTACAAGACCTATGTCAGCTTTTTTTTTTTAAAGCAGTCTCACTTTGGCACCATTGGTAGAATGCCATGGCATCATAGCTCACAGCAACCTCAAACTCTTAGGCTAAAGTGATCCTGTTGCCTCAGCCTACCAAGTAACTGGGACAACAGGCATCCACCACAATGCCCAGCTAATTTTTCTATTTTTAGTAGAGACGGAGTCTTGCTCTTGCTCAGGCTGGTCTTCAACTCCTGAGCTCAAGCAATCCACCTGTCCTGGCCTCCCAAAGTGCTGAGATTACAGGTGAGATTACACTGCACCTCACTGAGATTACAGTGAGATTACACTTCACCCAACCTATGTCAGCTTTTTACAACTAAAGCTTAATAAGAATTAATATTCACATGGCTAACTACCATTATTGCTGATACTTATAACCACTTACTATATATGCCAGTAGTATTTTAAGTACTTTATACTGACTCATTTAATTTTCACAATATAAAGGTAGGTCCATTTAGGACCAAGGTAGGTCCAAGGGTGGGTCCAATTATCATCTCCACTTTAGAAACAAAGAAACTGAGGTAGAAGGAGGTAGAATAATTTGTCACAGTGAGGCTGCTATTTAAAACCAAGCAGTTCCACTCCAGAGAGTAGGCTCTTCACCACCACACTATCTGTGCTCGACAAAGTCATGTGTGAGGATACTTACCAAGTGCATGCTTAAAACTACCAGAGACAAATGCATTGTGTCCATTTAAGACACATAATGCATGATTATCTGGGTTTTTCAGCATTAATCGGAGACAGAAGCGATGATGGCGCACATCTTGGGAGTGCATGGTAACTTGATTGAAAATATTCCAGAGCTGGGGTTTATTGACATTTTCCATTACCATTATCCTTAAGATGCAAAAAGAGGGTGAGGAGGAAATTAATGTAAGAAAAAAATCTGATTTCAAAAAATGAAACCCATCAGTGTCATCCTACCAATATTAAAATGCACCATGCCCCAAAAAGGAAAAACAGAACATTTCAAAACCTCTCACACAATGAAGATTATTTTCAAAAGAAAATGCTACTTATTTAGTGTTTCTGCAGCTTATTTCTGCTTTTCAACAAAACTTTTAACCAAAAAGCAGAAGCAAGTGGTTTGAGTTTCACTTTCTCTTCCCTAGTTCACTACAGCTGCAGTAAGTACAGTGAGCACTGAGTAATAACTAATAAGAATATGTGCGACACACTGTTAAAAAGGTGTTAACCCTCTGAGGTGGTAGAATTATGATGTCCTTTTTTTTTTTTTTTTTGAGTCAGAGTCTCACTGTGTTGCCCTGCATAGAGTGCTGTTACATCACAGCTCACAGCAACCTCAAACTCTTGGGCTTAAGCAATTCTCTTGCCTCAGCCTCCCCAGTAGCTGGGTCTACAGGTGCCTGCCACAACATCCGACTTTTTTGTTGTAGTTGTTGTTTGGCAGGCCTGGGCTGGATTCTAACCCACCAGTTCCAGTGTATGTGGCTGGCGCCCTAGCTGCTGAGCTACAGGCATCGAGCCAATGTCCTTTTATAAATGGGAAGATAGAGTCAGAAGAGGTCAAGTGATTAGTCTAAGGTCCCATCCAGTTAAGTGTCAGGGCTCAGATGTAAACCCATGAAATCTGTCTCTAAAGCCCATGTTCTCATATACTGCCTCTGAGAATCACCAATGAACTGAACCAACCAGCAAGCAACAGGAGAGCTAAAAATAAAGTGTCTGCTAAATAAAAATTAAGATTCTCTGATAGAAAAGTACATTTAAACAAATTATTAGAAAGTCACCTGATATAGTTGTATGCCTTTCTGAAATTTTTGTCCAGAATTGCAGCAGACAGACCAAAATATTCTAGTTCTTTGCGTTTTTGCCTGTCATCATAAAAAGAGTAATATTCCAGTGAAGAATCTACAAGCAACTCAGCCTCTTCAAATCGGGATAGGTCACATAAGGAGTATATGGCCTTCAAGAGAAGGTTCCACCAGTCATCTTTTGTCAAAACACTCATGAGGACAGCAAACATTGCTAAAATGAGACCAGCGAAAACCAAAGTTAAGGCATTATATTCCCAGAAACAGCAGTATTAGAAAAATTAAAATCATTAGTTTCAGGAGAACCACAGGCCTGAATTCTTGCCAACACTGTCCTGACAAAGATAAGAAAGGGAGAAATGTTTGCTTATATTCCTTAAACACTATGCCCTTCCGCTCTGACTGCCTGACAATCTGCAATCTCAGGTAATTCTGACTCTGACTTGTTCTCTATAAGGTCCACCTAACTTCATGTGCATTTTTCTGTGCTAGCTAGGATACACACTCCTTGGCACAGAACAAGCGTGCTTTCCAAGACTGCAGTGAGAGATTCTACACTTACAAGGCATTCAGTGACTTTAAACTTGTACTTTGAGATTCAGATTGTTCTTGATCTTTACTGATCTCACTTTTCTCTGCCTTAAAAATTTCTCTGATCCTTTAACAACAACCTCTCTCTTATTTCTCTATTAGAAGCCTCCCTATCATAACGTTTGAAATCAGAAGCCATAAAAAATTTTTCCTGTCTTTGATCCAGTAATCTCCCCTTTCGGAATGTATCCCACACAAAATAAATCTATATGTATGAAGATGCTCACTACATTATTATTTACAAAAGATAATTATCAGAAAAAAAAGGAAAGAAAATTATCAGAAGCAATCATATACCTAAAAATGATTAAATAAATTATAGAACTTCTATCCAATGGAACATTACACATTCCCTAAATATAACAGTTATGAAGAAAATACAGCAACATGAGAAAATGTTGAGTGACCAATAATGGACCTGAAATGAGGAATCACTGAAACAAAAGCGGCAGGATCAGATATAGAGAAAAATACAACTTAGGGAACATGGAACAAAATTCATGCTGTAGAGGTGGAAGCTATGAGGCTAAACCCAGAATCAATGAACTGGAGAGGCGGGAGGGCTCTGAGGTATTTATAGCTACATTATGAGCAGCTGAGCCCACCAGCCTTTCCTGACTCTAATAATGCCTAAATAACGATTTAATTAATGTCTGCTGAATTAACAATGAAATCATCTACTGTAAGACTATCCAGAACTGCAGCTGACAAAAATATTCTAGTTCTTTGCATTTTTGCCTGTCATAAAAAGGACGTCTCAAGTTTATACCTAGGTCACTTCCAAAGTTCTCTAATAACCTCAAAGTTTATACTTGGTGTTCTTACCACTAAAAATGCCTATCTTTTCAAGTCACGTTACTTGAGACTAGGTCATAGCAACTTATTTTCAAACAGTTTATATGACTCTTGTTACACCTGTCAAAAATTAATTTAACAGAATAGAACATATAATTAAAATCACTGGACAAATAATCTATGCAGTCATCTAATCTTCAAAAATATCTTAAAATATATTTTCTTAAAAAGTCAAAAGTTGTGTTTTATTTTTTTCATAGGAAGATTTAAGCAGATGTTTTCCTTTTAATTTTTGTGCAGGGGAACCCGTTAAGTTGACCACCCAAGAGACCGTAAAAAAACTGGTCAACATATGGAGGTGATCAACATAAGGAACTAGGCCAATTGTACTGATACATACATCTTGGTCTATAAAAATTAGGTCAACTTAAGGATAAGAAAGTGGTCAACGAAGGAGGTTCTACTGTATTTACATTTAACATTTTCTTTTATAACATCAGATGGGTTTATTGTACTTGAGAGATTTAGATTAGAAAATTTCTTGTGTTTGAAAAGGATATATGAGGGCTGTCCAGAAAGTATACAGACACGTAGGTCTCTATTTTTCATATTACATGGCTGAAAACTTTCTGGACAGCCCTGTATTTTCAACTAGATAACTATCAAATGTTACTTCATGAGTCTTTTCAATTCAAACTTTACATAATAAAGCAAATGAGATAATTACCTTTTGCATCACAATTTGCTGTCTCTTGCTCATTGTTGTCTGATATTTTGTCTCTTGATACTTTAATTAAATAGAGATGCCTCTCCCCAGATTTGGAACTGGATATCAAACAGACTTGGGCTCTATTCATTGCTACCTGCATTAAAAGATGATAATATATATATTTTTTTAAAGATATGAGGTTTCACTATGTTACCCAGCCTTTCGTGAAGCTGAGATTACAGGTGCACTCCACCAAACCCAACTTTAAACAATAGTTCTTTTAAAAAAAGCTATTCACCACAAATACCACAAGTGTAACTGAAAGCTTCTTTATTAAGAAAAATGAGGCCAAATTACCATTAAAAAATCTAAAAATAGTATGAATTGACTTTTCTTTTGCACCAAAGGAATTCTGGGTCATACTACTCAACAGAGATAGGAAAAAAACAATTGGCATTATCACATATGTATACATACATGCACACACAGCCACCTCTCCACACAAAAAGCCAGTCTCAGGACGCCAGATCTGGGATACATTTCTGCAAAGTGAATAGCTTTTGCGCACACAGTACTCTATAGAGCCAATAACTGACAATACTATGGTTCTCACTTTTCTAACTATGTACTAGGAAGGATTTTATTTCACTTCATCTACAGCCAAGAATTTTCAATTATATACCATTGATCTCTAAAGTTTTTATCTTTATCTGACTTTGACTTCAAAAAGCTTGAGTTTATTATAAAGCAGTATCATCTGTATTTAAATCAAATACTAAACATTTACAAAGTCAACAAAGCTATTATGAAGAAAGCTCATTACCCACCTTTAAAAGCATAGCTAACATGGTAAGTAAGGTATCCACATAGCCGTACATTTTCCCTTGTGAAAACAATAGAGTAGAACGATGTAGTAGTAACTTCAGTTCCTAAGCAAATAAGCACATGGTAATGTGTGTAATAAGATTCCTTTTTCATAAATTCTATTTGCATTAAAAAGTTTTGTTTTAAAAAACCGAACATTAAGAAAATTCACCTTATGATCTTTTACTATAATTAATATCCAACATATATATGCACATATATATAACATATGTATACACACACACACATATATATATTTGTTTTTAGAGGCTTGCTCTGTCACCTGGGCTAGAGTGCCATGGCCTCAGCCTAGCTCACAGCAACCTCAAACTCCTGGATTCAAGTAATCCTCTTGCCTCAGCCTCCTAAGTAGCTGGGACTACAGGTGCCTGCTACCACACCTGGCTATTTTTCTCTTTTTAGTAGAGACAGGGTCTCATTTTGCTCAGGCTGGTCTCAAACTTCTAAGCTTCCACCTTGGCCTCCCAAAGTTCTAGGATTACAGATGAGAGCCATGGCACCCAGCCAAGATCCAATATTTTAGAAACTATAATTTATAATACTTAGTAAGTAGCTGAAGCTTAAGACTCAAAATCATTTTTCAAAAACAGTGAATACACTAAAATAGAGCTGGATATACCAGTAAGCTGTACAGACATCTATTAACTGTTCTAAATATTAAGAAAAATTTCTTTCTGTGTTACATAGCCTACCTGCTGTGCAGCGTTTGCATCCTGTGCTAAAGTATCTGGATCATACATTGGTTCCAGAGCTTCCAGAGCTTTCTCAGGACGGCCCAGCTGCTGCTGAAGGGTGGAAAGTGAAATTCTTGCATCCAAATGGAGAGGGGCCAGATCAACCACCTTGCCATAGCTTTCTGCAGCACGCTCCATATAGCCTAAGGCCTTTAAACATTCTAAAACAAGGTTAAAGCATAAGGATGAACTACAGATTTGTAAAACGCCCCAGATCACTTTTTCTATTTTAAAAGAAATATTAAAAAAAGAAACAAGAAATGAATGAGTATTTCTAATGCTTTCATACAATTATCCTTAATCTCTATTGACTAATTAATCTAACAAGCTAACTAAATTCAAACTGGTATAAGATGTAATCAGTGTGTACTTATAATCTGGAGTTCGGCTTTATTCACTTAGCACTACATTTTAAACACTGTCCCATGCCTTCGCTAGCATTTTGAATAGTTACATAGTAATCCATCAAACTGAGTATTTAACCATATTGACATTTAAGCTGTTTTCAAATTTTTACACTAACATGTAACACTATAGTAAACATCTTCATGTATATGAGCCAGAATTTACAAGCGGAAGACCAGTATAATTCACAGATATATTTTATTGGGCCACAGTTTTTCTTTCAATTATTAATGGCTTACTTTTTAAAAATTAGGATTTTTATAAAATTCAAGGTATTGAATTCTTTTGAAAACTCTGAATTTGCCAATAGCGGGAACCCCCACTCCCACAGGGCACACTGCCCGTGCTGAGAAATATCCCTTCAGACAGGGCTCTTCAGTTCTAATCTCTCTCTCACTTGTCCACATCACTCACTGTTTTACCCACCAGGCTCCCAAGTTTTGTAATCCCCAAGATAAATTAACCACCTCCTATTATCCCACTCTATTAGTTCCTTAGGGTAAGTTCTCAGAAGTGAGGCTGTTGGGCCCTATTCCTCAAACTTTGTCTGATCAGTCACTAAGTTCTATTATTTAAACATGTAAACAAGTCCCTACAAATATTTATTCTCTCCCCTTACTACCCTCAACACTAAAACAATAATGTAGGCCTCTTGTCATTTCTTTACTTCTTCACTGCAATTATCTCCTAAATTTTTGCCTCCAATTATTTAATCAAATCTCTCCAAGCCATCATCTTTAGGTTAAATTTTGATAATAATGGAAGAATACTAATATAAATGGATTGTCACAATGGCATTTCTTACATTTTTTTCATTTTTAAAGACATTCTGCTATTGTATGTTATGCCATAAACATTCACTTCCTCTAATCATCTCAAGTTCCATGGGCTCAAAATGGAAAAAGCATTTATCAGAATCATGATTAAATAGGATTTAAAAGTACCTGTAATTAGTAACCTAGGAGCAGTTTCAGTATCACAGCCTTAGGCAATAAAAACTCAAAATTCTCTGCTCATGTCTTAAAATTCAAATCCCATGAGTAATGCAACTTTTTGTGATGGTATTAACATTTGTATTCATGTTTACTCATCTAAAGAGAAAACCATTACCTTAATCATTAAGTGCTCTCTTCTCTAGTTAAATCTATGATACAAGTGAGCCACTGCCCCAAAATGTCAATCAATGCTTCTCTAGTTATAATGAACTTTCTGCCATTGTGTGATTATTTTAGGAGAGCCATATTTGAAACCAAGACTATTTAATTTTAATGCATCTTTTATGTTAACACAGTAGGAAATCATATCAAGGTATTTTTTGCTTTCATATATTTCAGAGATTTAGTTGTGTTTCTTAAGGTTTTTGTGCCATTTTTCATGATTTATTTCAGACTGCTGTGGACTGTGGCATAGTGCAAAAAATGATTGACAACATCCAATCTTGAGCATATGTGTGGCTCAAACAAAACTGAAAAATACATTAAATGCCTTCTCTGAAAATAAGATATTAAATATCAATCTTTACTGTAAAAATTATTTAAAAATTAGATTTTGCCCCAAATCTGACAATCCACTACTAGAAATCAGAGCTTATGGTTAAGACAGGTAAAAGACGGGCACTTAAGGAACATTGTTAATCCCTCTATTGCACTCTGGTATCACCAAATCATTCCTCCAATCCATTAGTAAGGGAAAAATCACTTATGCTCACTTTCAAACAACTGCCCTAAAATCAGAAATACATGTACTCATCATAATTACAATGTTGAAAAAATTCTTATACAATTAAAACTTCTCCCTCCCACAAAAAATTACCTGCATGCCGAAGCCAGACTACCGCAAGGTTGTATCTTTCAGAGCAAACAAGTGCACTGAGCAGAGGAAGTGCAGAATTGTATTCACCAACATCCAGAAAAGCTTCAGCAACATCTAGATAGAGGTCTCCCATGTCTTCAGGATTCTGTTCCACTAGTGTTGTCAAGAGAGGCTAGACCCCCAAATAAAATCCTAAAGTCAAACATTCATTGCAAATGTCCATATCTCTCTTTTTAATGTTTATGTTAGTTATATGAAGCAAGCCAAAAAGGAACGAGGCTTAATAAAAAGTTTTAAATGATCATTTCTATTCACTTCTGTATTTCTATTTTAAAATCCTGATGCTTCCATCATTGCCCCATTCAACATTCTGTGGACATGTTAAAAGGCAGGCATTGCACCAAGACAATGCTAAACTGTCGTGCTCTTCCTGTAAGGAGCCAAATATCCCATCATGCCCCTGGGTTTCTGCATTTGCTGCTGTCTTTGGAAAGCTCTTCCCGCAGCTCTCCCCATGGTTTACTTCCTCAGGTTGTTATTCAAATGTCACCTTTTCAAGTAGACTTTTCCTGGCTCTCCAATTGAAAACTGTAACTTTCCCCCACCTACAATATTTCCTCTATTTGTTCCTTTTTCAATTTTTCCCCAGAACACTTATCACCAACCAATATCCTATATATTTTATACATTTATTATCCATCTAATCCCATTAAGACAAAAGATGCATGAGGGTAAGGATTTGTATATTTTATTCAATATCTTATCCTAATTTCTACTAAGTAGATGCCCAATACATTTTTTTCCCCAGGGAAATACTTGGTCCAAAGTTGGCAAAGGAGAATAGCTGTCCACATTAGTACCAACTGTTTAAAGGTCCGATCTCAAATTCTGTTCTCTAGACTGTTCTCATTTTAAAAGAAAAACAGGCATAACATTATTATGAGCACAATTCCAAAATACTTTTTGCTTGTATGAGACATTCATACAAAAATAATGTGATGCTTACTGCACCCTCCCTGGTTATTAAAAATGTGTGAGGTCAAGTTACAGTTTCTTGTCATCTAAACAGAACAGACTGGATTTGATCTGAAATATCGGAAGTGCATCTCTTAATGTTACTTACATTAAGTGGTTCAAGGATGTTGAGATGCACAAGACAGACCATCAACTTTACAGTGATATCTATGGGCACACCATCAGGTATAGTGCACGTAACATCCTCATGAGCTGTGGAAGAGATAAGAAGCAGTTCCCATATGTAAGCTTAGGATGTGTAATGATTCTACAGGCAATTCTAAGTTGGGCTAATTCTATTAGTAAGTCCTTATACATCCTTCAGTCTACTCTTTGGTAGAAAGAATCCTTCCTGGCTTGGCGCCTGTGGCTCAACCGGCTAAGGCGCCCGCCACGTACACCTAAGGTGGCGGGTTCGAATCCCCAGCCTGGACCCGCCAAACAACAATGACGGCTGCAACCAAAAAATAGCCGGGCGTTGTGGTGGGCACCTGTGGTCCCAGCTACTTGGGAGGCTGAGGCAGGAGACTCGCTTGAGCCCAGGAGTTGGAGGTTGCTGTGAGCGTGATGCCATGGCACTCTACCCAAGGGGATAGCTTGAGGCTCCATCTCAAAAAAAAAACAAAAAAAAGAAAGTATCCTTCCTATTCTTTTCCTAATACCTTCTATATTTATACAAACATATATAAACTCTCACACCTTTTATGTAAACTACAGAGAACTAAAAACAGACAAAAATGACCAGGATCTATAAACCCTCTCTTATTTCTTCTTGAATTGAAAAGCTCTTTTTAAATGTCACAACAAAGAGGCTAAGAAGAGTAAAAACACTACTGTGTTGTTTTTTAATGCTTCATTACAGTAATTTTTAAAGCCCTGGGAAATTAAAGCAATTTGTACCCACATTTAAGATATTTTGTATTTTGCAAAGTCTAGTAAATTCTAAATGAGATTATATTTCCAATTGAGAAAAAACTAAAGTATAGAAGGGCATTAGAGATGTATCTTAAGTGGTGGAATAATATTAAAGAATTTTATCTGTTTTACAGGACTTCTCATGTAAATTATAGCACAGTTAGCCCTCTATAGTGTCAGGTTTCATATCTACAGATTCAACCAACCACAGCTGGAAAATATTAGGGAGAAAAAAATACAATAAAAATAACACGAATTTTAAATACAGTAAAAACTATTTACCTGGGTTTTACATTGTATTAGGTATCATAAGTAATCTAAAGATGATTTAAAGTATACAGGAAGATGTACACAGATGCAGAGATTATACCATTTTACATGAGGTTTTTGAACACTAAGGATTTTGCTTTGGGGGTTACCTGGAACCAATGTGTCATGGACACTGAGCGATTACTATATTGCCTAAAATTACCAAGTCATAGAAGGAGTTGGACTAGTTTAAATAAGAGACTATTTTAAATCACTGAGCTTTAAGACAGTAATTGATATCAGAAATCCAGCTTAGATATTTATCCTGCCCAATGAGAGTGGAAATTTACTCACACTAGATCCTAAGTTCCATGAGGCCAAGAACCTTGTCTAACTCAAGGCTACATCCATAGTATATTTCTTCTGGTCACTGATCTGAATAAGGACTAAACACAAATGATATGAATTCTGTAAACACATGTTTCTTCTGCAGACAGTAGCTATGATCACTGATCTGAGTAAGGACTAAACACAATCCTGTTTCTGTTTTTGTTGTTGTTTTTGGAGACAATGTCTCATTCTGGCTAGAGTACGGTATTCATGTCTAGCCCTGGCTAGAGTACAGAGGCATCTTAGTAGCTCACTCACTACAACCTTAAACTCCTGGGCTCAAGCAATCCTCCTGCTTCAGCCTCCTAAGCACCTGGAACTACGGGCATGTGTCACCACACTCAGCTAATGTTTCTATTTTTAGTAGAGATAGGGTCTTGCTCTTGTTCAGGCTGGTCTCAAACTCCAGAGCTCAAGAGATCTCCCGCCTCAGCCTTACAAAGTGCTAGGATTACAGGCATGAGTGACAGCACCCTGCCATAATGCAGTCTTTTTTTTTTTTTTTTTTTTTGAGACAGAGTCTCACTATGTCACCCTGGGTAGAGTGCCATGGCGTCACAGCTCACAGCAACCTTAAACTCTTGGGCTTAAGCAACTCTCTAGCCTCAGTCTCCCAAGTAGCTGGGACTACAGGTACCCACCAAAACGCCCAGCTATTTTTGGTTGTAGTTGTCGTTGTTGGCGGGCCCACACCGGATTCAAACCCGCCACCTCTGGTGTACGTGGCTGGCGCCCTAGCTGCTTAAGCCACAGGTGCTGAGCCAGAACGCAGACATTTTAATGAGCCTTTAACTTTACTAAAATGGAATTATATCTATATGAGATAGAATTTGGATTACAGAATTCATATCATTTTGATTTTCTTTCTATAGTTTGCCATGGTCTGAATGTTTGTGCCCTCCCAACATTCATAGGTTGAAACCTAACCCCCAAGGTGATGGTAGTAAGAGGTGAGGTCTTTCGGAGGTGATTAGGTGAACGGAGATTTGTGCTGTTATAAAAGAGATTTGAGGGAGCTCATTTGCCTCTTCTACCATGTGAGAACACAGTGAAAAGGCACTATAAGTGCCTTCCCCAGAAATCAAATCTGTTGGTGCCTGATCTTAAGACTTCCCAGACTCCAAAACTCTGAGCATTAAATTGTTTATCAGTACGCAGACTAAGGCACTTTATTAGAGCAGTCCAAACAGACAAAGACACTGTTCACTAAAATGTATCTATGTTTTAACTTTCAGAAAGAAAGGGATATCACATGAAATATTTTAACTAAATTTCAGTATATCATTAAAGATACAGTCGAGACTGTACCAATGTATAAATCAAAAACCCTGCTTTCAAATCAAATCACAAGGTAAAACTCAACTTTACATCAAATACAAAACACATGCCTAAAATCAAGTGATTTAGGAAAGTTTAAAATAAAAGAACAAAAGTATAGCAGGCAGATGCAAATGAAAATAACACAGAGGTCACAATCTCAATATCAGTACTGGGTAGCACTACTCAAAGGTAGTCTGGGACTGGAGCCAGTTCACAAACTGTTACTAACTCGATCAAATAAGTACTGAGACTAAAAGTATTTAGACACTTCAATGGCCATTTGGCAATACCAAGGAAGGTAGTATTTATATTTAAAGTCCCTACAGCTTATACATAATTAACACTACTAGCTCAGTCTTTTAAAAAGCTTATCTATGTATCACTTGTACCTTATCCCCCTGAACCCCCATTAGGTGTCTAACATTTAGAAGAATTTAAAAATGTGAACCTCAGACAATGCTTAATCTAAAAACATTTGTTCTCATTTTCTAAAATACACATAAAAACCAAAACCCTTTGCTCATTTTGGAATTGTTTTTGTCTTCTCCACACATCTTTTTCTTTAAGGTTATTTCATTAACGCTTAAAAGATTTCAGATGCACCACTATTTTACATACTAAGAAAGAAAAATGCCACTACTTAAATTCTAACATGTCACTGATTTATGTTAAGAGGTTCCTGATTTCAGATATTCTAAATCATTAAGAAAGGAAAGAAGGAAAATAGAATCAACGAAACACCATAAAATATATTAAATAACAAAATGATTATATCTATAATTAAAACCTGCATAGAATTGTTTCTTTAATATTGCATTTTTCAAAGCAAAAGATAGCAATAATTTTCAACACAAATACAGTCTTTTAGAACAAAAATCTTAAACAGAAATATGGCTGCAAAATATTGACTTAATTAGGCCTTGGCTCTAACCTAGGCCAGGTCCTAGAAAAGTATTAAAACTGGCTAAGAGTCCTTCAAATGCCCTAGTCAATACTTTCATACCACTACAATTCCTACTTCTTACTCTATTCATTCATAACACCCCAATCACTCAAGAGCCTCAACCACAGCAGATGATCTGATCCTACCCATAACCAAGCAATGCCGTCACACCCTGGGACTCAGTCTGGAACACATTCCCCATAGGTGTCAGTTTAAACTAAACCTCTATAAACATCCTCTGATGTTATACTGCCCTCCTCTATTTTCTCATCACACCAGTTTTACTACAGAACTTATCACACAGGTCTTCCTATAATAATTAAACTGTGTACACTTCATCTGAACCCCTTTTTCCTTCTCTAATTCCTTGAGGGCAGAATTACTCATCTGAGTATTCGCCTCATACCCAGCAGTTCCTTATGCAATCTATTATTGAACTGGGTTTCCCTTCCCTAACAACACTTTCCACTTCAACATTCATCCATCCCAAACTCCACCTTGGGCCTTCTCTCTATAAATTATAACTGGTTTGTGTTAAGTAAATTATTCCTCGCCATTAGGAGGGATATTTTAAGAAGAGTTTTTGTGGTAGGCATCACAACAGGCCAGGGAGGTTGCTATTTTGAAACAGGGAGTACACAGTACCAGTGCACTTCTCCTTTCCATGAACTCCATCAAAATCCTCACAGGATAGGGGTAGAAGGTACTATACAGAAATTCTTTGACAAGAACAGGGTTACCTACTCAGCCCATGAAGACCAATTTTGCTACAACCTTAGATACCGTCCTGAATCTGGTAATATCGTCACAGAATAGGTTAATGACAATAGTACAAAGGAAAAAGCCACAATGAAGAAAAGAAAGAGACCCTGCAAGCCACACTTCAGATGTGACTATCTAACTAGATCTCTAATGACACATTTTGAGTTTTCAAATGATGTAGAGTAAGCATATTAGTTTTTTCATGTAAATGTTTTAGTATAAAGTAGAATTTTTTTAAATTTATTTATTACTAGTTTTTGTAGAGATGAGGTCTCCCTAGGTTACCCAGGCTGGTCTCTAATTCCTGGTCTGAAGTGATCCTCCTGCCTCAGCCTCCCAAAGCACTGGGATTAGAGGCATGAGCAACCATGCAGACTTAACTAAAAATCTTTAAATGAGAGCATTCTAAGTCGTTTTGGAAAGTAAATTGCTTTAGACCTAAAGGTTTTGATAAGCTGTTCAGTAATTCATCCTGTTTTCCTATAACAATCAATGAAAAAGACCCTAAGTCAATGAGAAATACCATGTTCAAATGGACACACTGAGAAAAAAAGGAACTTAAAACTAATTTTTTAAAAGATTATGTACAAGTCAATACTCACAAGATTGGAAATTTCTTGAGGAAAAAACACACTCTTGGAAAAACTTGCTATGAGACTATTAACTATCAACTCACCACATTATGAGATAAATTTTCACCATAAAATACTACAATTAGTAAGAATTTGATATACTTTCCTACACAGAGGAAACTACAACCTTTATTCTCTTCTGAGGTGCCTTCTATTGAAGTTTTCTTTTCCAGTACAATTCCAGAAAAATCTGTAATTACCTAAAAGAATAAGAGGAAAAGGAAATAATACTATAGTTATGCATGAAAAAACTTTTCATAATACAAAGATTTGTCCAGGTAATTCAAATTATCCCTACAGTATACAACTGGGCTATAAAAAGGAACAGTGAGTGTTTTTAAAATAAGAAATCCTGAGATGTATTAACATTTTTATATCATATTAACTAATATTAACCAAATCTATAGTTCCCCTGTAGCAAACCAGACTACTTCCCCCCAAACAGCTTAAGAATCAAATCACAGCAATTGGTCTGACTGCAGAGTCCTGACATTTTACAAACAGACATACTACGTAGCTGTGATGATGGTAATATCTTTGATTATATAACTATTTTTATACTTCATACTGAATTACTGTAGAATTCAGAAATTGGTTGTTTCCATACAGCCTTTAAATATTTACATAATTTAATATGTAACTAAAATGAATAACTGCCAATTTTTAGGAATTTCTAGAACATAGAAACGTGTTCAAAACTCAACAGAGAAACACATAAACATTCCTACCTCTAAAGCTTTGTCATACTGCTTGTTAGAAATACACAGTTCAGCTGCTATGTTAACATCTTCCATGGAGACTAGGTTCTGGTGTTTGGAGAAAGCTTCATCAATTATATTAATAGCTGAAGTAACATCATTGGCTTCATAGTAACTCCTAAAAAAGTTAATTGGTTACCAGTACAATGTAGGGGTATACAGCATACCTCTTGGTTCACAGGACCCAAATACAACTCAGATTTAATCTAACAAACAATGTAACCAATTAGGTTACAATTGTATGTACCCTAATATTAATCTGAAATTTTAAAAAATATCAATTGGCAAAACAGATGAAGATTTACTTAATTCTAATTAAGAATGATTAAGACTCAGTTCCTTACTTAGGCCTTCTAACAATTGTGGTTTTTATTTTCTTATAATTTGGGAGGAGAAAATGCTTGCTTCTTTAAAATCATAATCAGAACTGATTCAAAGAAAAATGTGCAATGTCAGTGTAACAATATCATAATCCAAGCATTTCACGTCCCAAAAGATAGCACCTGTCATCCACTTCATTCTCTCTGTAATCTAATACTAACAACTCTTCTGCTTTAACAGATTTACAAAGTATATATCCTACCACTTTTTTACCATCCCCTACACCAGTGGTTCTCAACCTTCCTAATGCCATGGCCCTTTAATATGGTTCCTGTGGGTCGTGACCCACAGGTTGAGAACCGTTGCCATACCCACTTCCTATCTTCACACTCTTCCTTCTCTGTGGTTCAACATTACAATTATTCCCTACATATATTCTCAATTTTCTTGCTCTGCTCTCCCTTTATCAAAATCACCTGATAAAACCCCAACCCTGGTTAAATCCACATATATCTACTCTTCACTAACACCTGCCCAGCTAACCATGCCAAGGGATCTCACTCCCAATTAATGACCAATATAGCCTCTAGGGCAGTGGTTCTCAACCCACAGGAACTGTATTAAAGGGCCGCAGTATTATGAAGGTTGAGAACCACTGTTCTAGGGCACTGATTTTCAACCAGTGCACCACAGTACACCCGGGTGCCATGAGAGGATCTTAGGTGTGCCTCGAAAATTTTTAAAGATCATTAATTATTTGCAAAAGAAGTTCAAAGCACAATATATTCTTTTTTTTTTTTTTTGATCAATATAATTTAAGAGTACCAGAGAAGTTTAACTACAGGGTAAAGTGTGCCATGAGCTAAAACAGGTTGAAGAACACTGTTGCAGTGGGCCCACAGTATTAACAAGCAATATTACTGCAGTTACCTAGTCCAGTACTTCTCAAACTTGAACGTGCACACAGATCAACTGGGGATCTTATAAAAAGGTATATTCTGGTCCAGCAGAGCTGGAAGCTTCTACTTCTGATAAGCTCTCAGGTGATACCATGCTGCCAGTCTGTGGAGCAGTAAGGTCCTAGACAACTATTTTGCATCTATTCCCTCTTCAAACCTCTAACACACTCAGCTGATGGCCTTGCTTCATATCTTACCAAGAAAAGGGACACAATTCAGACATCCCACATACTCCCAACACATATACCTACTCACAAGTACCCGTGGCTGTATCACCTTCCTTCCTCTTTATCAAAGATAAATCATTAGTATACATGAGCCTAACCCCCAGCTAAATCTCATTCCCTCAAGGATGTTGTTAACCAATTACCTTTTCTCTCACAAATTTTCAATGTGTCCCTCAATTTTGGATCACTTCCATCCAAATACAAATATATTATAATTTCCCCCAACTTAAGAAATTCTCTTACCCTCTACAACCCATTCTTCTGCTCCCCTTGTAAATGTCTCCAGTTGCCCATCCCCCTACCCTGTCTTCAGTGTCTCTTCCCTCATTCTTTTTAACCTAATCAACTTTTATTCTCCCCGCTCTGTCAAAACTTGATTACCATGTTGCTAAATCTCATTTTATCTGATCTGTGGTATTTCACAGATATCACCCCTCCTCCTTGAAGTGCTTTCTTCAATAAAATTCTAGATCATCAAGTTCTCTTTGTTTTCTCCTACTCCACTGGCCATTTCTCTTCATCTCCCTAAAGTTTCGTCCTCTTCTCCCTGAGAATGAAGTACTTCAAGGGTTCAGTCCTCAAAACTTTTCCCTCTCCCTCTTTTTCCTCTTCTTTCTTTCTCCTTTCCACCCCCTCTCTCATCCCTGCCCCCATATATCCAATACATCAGAAAATCTTGATAGTTCAGCCTTCTAAATACATCAAAACATCCAGAATCTGATTACTTCTATCCTTGTTCAAGCCAAAACCACTTTTCCCTTCTAATTTCCTAACTTGTCTCCCTGCTTCTGCCCATAGCACTGACAAACTATTCTGAAAAGAGCACCTAGAATTTATGCATTTCAAATTTAAGTCAGACCATGTCACTTTTCTATTCAAAACCCTCCACTGACTTCCACATTCATTCAGAATAAAAGACAGGGTCAACTGATCTATTCCTTTGACATCTTTCTGCTCTGTTTCGATTAATCCTTCAGCTCCCATATTGTTCCCTTGCACTTGTCGTTTTCTCTGCCTGTGATACTCTTCCCTAAACATCCATCCTCTCACCTCCTTCAGTTTACCTGCAGTCAGTATAACACAGAAAATGAAGTCCTTCTCTAATCACTCTACTTTAAAATAATATACTCCCATATCTCAAATTCCTATTCTTTCTAAAACTGCTTTTTCTTTGTATCACTTAACATATGACATCATAACATACATGTTTATTGCCTGTCTCCCCCACTGGAATGTAAGCTCCACACGAATAGGGGATGATTTTTATTTTTTTCCTTGAGACAGAGCCTCTCTTTGTCACCCTTGGTTGAGTACCATGGTGTCATAGTTCACAGCAACCTCAAACTCTTGGGCACAAGTGATCCTCTTGCCTTAGCCTCCCAAGTACCTAAGATTACAGATACCTGCCACAACACCCAGTTATATTTTAGAGACAGCATTTCACTCTTGCTTAGGCTGGTCTTGAACTCCTGAGCTCAGATGATCCACTTGCCTTGGTCTTCCAGAGTGCTAGGTGTGAGCCACAGTGCCCAGCCTGAACAGGAGATGTTTTTAAACTTGTTCAATTCTGGAAATCCTAGTTCCTTGTACAGTACCTACTGTGTAAGATATACTCAATACATTTTTCTGGAGAGAACATCGGGAGTGAAGGGAAAGCCTAATCAGAAGTTACAGTAACAGAATTCTATGCAGCAAAGACCTCTATGGCAGTGGCAGAACTGACCATCACCACTCTTCCTCAACAAAAGTAATACATGAAATACAAGTGGAAAGCAAATTTAGTAACTAACATAGGCCACATGACAGTTCATAAAGTAGAAACTTACTGGACTAACCACTGTGACAGCTAAAGGTAACCTGGGAAGACCATAAATGTTGATGATACACCATCAGGGATTAACTGAGGGTTGCCTTCCCTCAACCAATTTCCTAAAAACATTTCTGCTATTTCTATATAACTCACCCCCGAGGTAGAGGACAATTTCACAGCTAAGCATCATCCTAATAAAGGCCATGGAATTAACAGATTTAATGTATTGTACACAAATCAAGATAATTAACCTTATACTAAAATTCCATATAATAGATATCCCTAAAATAAAAAGCAAACCATAGCTTGGCGCCTATACCTCAGTGGCTAGGGCACTAACCACAAATGTGGCAGTTGGTGGGTTCGAACCTGGCCTGGGCCCGCCAAACAATGACAACTGCAGCCAAAAAATAGCCGAGCATTCTGGTGGGCACCTATCGCCCCAGCTACTTAGGAGGCTGAGGCAAGAGAATCGCTTAAGCCCAAGAGTTTTAGGTTGCTATGAGCTATGTTGCCACAGCACTCTACCTAGGGCCACATAGTGAGACTCTGTCTCAAAAAAAATAATAAAATAAAAAACATACCGTAAGTGTTAGGGTACGCTTAGTGAAAGTGTTTCCTACTTTGTTTTGCTGTGCAATATGTCAGAAGTAAATGCAGTAGGCCCTATTTTAGAATAAAATATGTATCATAGTCAATAACGTGTCAATTACAGTAATTTTAGTCTCAATTTTATTTTAGTACTGGCTCAAAACAAAATGATTATAGACGATCCCAGATCACAAACATTTCCTTAGCAAATCTGCGATAAAAAACAATTTTTTAAATTGCTGCAAATACACACAACTTCAACTAAGTTATGGAACAGAGAACCTAATCATTCTTTCAGAACATGCCTCATTTTTAAGCTTCTGAACACTTGAGATGTAACCTTATAAACTAAATTTTCTAAGCAATTACGCAGTGACTTGGAAACAGAAAGTACTCAAAATTAGACACAATATGAAATATAGAAAGCAAAACACTTGAATTCAAATGAAAAGTACATTCTACTTCAAAATATGCTTTGGTTTGCAAAATAAGATTAATAAGAACATCTATATATATTTAAAACTTACTTTGCCATATCTCTAGTCAATTGCATAAAACGTTCTCCATCAGATGGAGACAAAAGGTTTAAAATACGCCTATAACCATCCATGGCCATTTTATGATCACCCATCTGTTCATAAAGACTCGATCGTTCCCACAGATAACGAACATTAGTAGGTTCATATTTAAGAGCTAAAAAGAAAAGAAATATAAATTACATAATTATCACAAAAAGATGGATACCTTGTACCTGGGTGTTACCCATCATCTTCTCAGAGAATTTAACATATACTTTTAATTCTCCAGTGGAATTAAGAGAGTCATTATAGAATAAATCTTCACAGAACTCTCAACTAGGTTTGATCTAAAACCAGGCAGAACCTGAATATCCACATTACTCTTCTTCTCCTGGTTACTGAGTCTTATGTTAACCCTCAAGGAACAGTTTAGAACCAACAAGGATCTCAGTGGGAAAACGAAGGTACTGCTGATCTATCAACTCTTGTGTTGTATGTATTAGTCTCGCATATAAAAAGTCACAAATAAACATGAGAGCAAAGAGGCCCCCAAATGTTTACCTCTAGTAAAATAGAATATAAGAAACAAATACACTTCAGTCCAATATCACAATGCAGAGTAGCAAGAGCAATTAGGAAAATATTTTAATTACCTTTCGTATAGCAAAAAATAGCCTGCTTAATATTGTCTTGTTCCAGAGACATCTCTGCCAGTCTGACCCATTCTTCTGTGTCACTGGGATTTAAATGTGCAGCAATCAACTCAAACTGCAACGATTTCTCCATGTCACCTTGGTCCTCATATATCATGGCCAGAGTAGAGAATGGCTCATAAGCCAGAGGAGCTGTAATGAATTTAAAAAATAAATTCCTCTGCCTAAAGGAAGAGGCTTAAGCTGATATCAAGCCATCGTTCAAACTATGAGTGTTTTTTAATACCTGACCTCTTTAAATCACTCTACCAGAATTATGCAAACTATTCAATGGAATTTAGAACAAATTCTAGGTTATATTTGCTTTACTTCATATATTTTTAGCAATTTTAAGCCATTATTTTCTTGAAGCAAAGTGTAATTTCATGAACAACCCTACTCTCTGCCACACATTCCTCATGAAAATCGCCCTCTGCTAGGCCTAAACATGAATCAGTAACTCAGCAAGTTAATCCCAACCAGTTCGTCAGTGTCACCAAATCTCCCTGAACTAGCTCCTAAACCAGGAAGTATGGTATAAATGAATGAATGAACCTAAGCAGCACCTAAATCCAGGATATCAGGGTAAGTGGCTAATCTAGGTTTCTGAAGTATTATTTCCAAAACAAAGTTCAAAGATTACAAGATATTAAAGTCAAAGATTTTTGTCAAAAATAATTATAAATTGAAATAAAGTAACAGATAATAACAAAACTAGGAACCAAATGAAAAAATACTACAGACAAAAGTGTGCTAAACCTTACTTCTGAAAGAGTAAATAAGGAAAATCAGTAGCCTCAAACCACCCTACGGAATAAGCCAGGAAATTATAATAAGACTTTTAAAAGGACCTTTACCCAACTAAAGGGAAATGCCAAAATATGGAAAAAATAAATTCAAAGGTCAGTATTTTTACTACTCAAGCTACTCTGCAGGGCATTATTTGGCAACATACCAGGGAACCAAAGTCATAATGAGTAATTAGTCAAAGAAAACAATCAGAAGATATCCTTCAGTATAAAAATGTGTTGTTTAACTGAGATTAAGATGACAAATTTACATTGTGTCTTTTACAAAAAATAAAATAATCTAGCGAGGAGGTCTGATTTAGAAAATGGAATAAAGGGTAGTGTCTGTGGCGAGGTGGGTACGGTGCTGGCCCCATATACCAAGGGTGGTGGGTTCAAACCTGGCCCCTACCAAACTGCAACAACAACAAATAAAAATAGCCGGGTGTTGTGGTGGGTGCCTGTGGCCCCAGCTAATAGGGAGGCTGAGGCAAGAGAATCTCCAAGCCCAGGAGTTTGAGGTTGTTGTGAGCTGTGTGACGCCATAGCACTCTACCAAGGGCGATAAAGTGAGACTATCTCTAAAAAAAAGAAAATGGAATAAAAAGAATGTTCTTTAAGTAGTTTTAACATGTTCGTCATATTTAAAGACTAACGATACAAAAGCCTAACCCCTTTAAAATGAAACATTAAAAAATAACAAAATTTGTAAGAATTCAATAAATATTAATATTGCATTGAATTATACTGTGATTTTCATTCTTATAAAAAGTAGAAATTACTGTTACCTCACTCACCTCCAAGTTTCTGAACATATTTTCCAAATAATACAGTGACGAGCTCTTCCACTTCTTTTAAAACTATTAATCTGCTATTACCAATCAAGTCCCCACAGAACCCACCTTGTCTTATGATTTCCATGCACATCAGTATCGCCTCTTCACGTTCTCCTCGAGCAAAGCGAATGTTGGCTTCACCCATGAGACCTCTCAGAGCTCTTGGAAGTTTACTCCGAGGTCTTTTCTCCTTTATGTAATAAAAATCATATTTAGATTAAAATATAGTGAAGTCTTGGATTCAATTCCAACCATATTAATATATACAGAATATAATTAACCTGAACTTTTCTTTTAAAACTTTAATTTTCTAAACTCAGAACCAAATGATTGCAATTTTAACTGACTCTTTAGCATGAAAGACTATACTGCAGGAAAAAGTCTACAACTCAATTGCAGGAAAGAACAAAACTGTTCTATAGTACTCTCCAAAGAGAAGCGCCTCAGAAAGTTAAAAAAAAAAAGAAAATCTTCTTAGAGTGCAAAGCTCAAAGTACAGTAAAAGCAAAAACAAAAAAAAGTGATCAGGAATTACTAATTAGAATAACAACAAATGTGGAACTAGATGTTACAGAACAGATTTATATGCCAGGAATCGTATTTATATAATCTACTGAAGATCCTCCTCCTTGCAAATTTATCTGCTCTGACTGAACTTGGTTAAAAATATATCAACTTATATCACAGCATGCTATGGAGGAATGGCTGCTGATCTGCTCCGTGGGCTCAAAACCTTTGCTGGTCTGGGGCTCCAGTGTTGTGCTCTCCCTGCCAAGCTCCTGTTTGGTAAAAAGGAAGCCACTGGTGCTCCAAGTCACTGGGAACATGAAAATTAATGCTGAAAATAAAGCAAGATCAGTATGGTAAGCACAAAGCATGTGCCTATTTCTACTGCTGCAGCCTCCAAGCCAAGGCTGAGGCCAATGACAGCTCTAGGAGACAAAGGTAACAAAGTCAGTGAATAGCTAGCTGCCTACCAAAATGGCTCTGAAAAAGAAAGCAAAAACTTTAGCTCCTGGAAGTTATTGCTAAAAAACTACCAAAACCTCTGGAAAAGGTACCTGAGCCTACTTTCGTAGATAATCCCTCTCCAAGCCCAATGGAAACATCTGGATGTGCCCCTGCAGAATATCTGTGTCAGGCTTTGTCTGATGTAATTCATGCAGCAAATGCATGGAGCTGATCCAAACCTATGTAGTGAATATGTGAAAGGTATTTACGCTTATCTGGACAACCTGAGGAAGAGCAAGCAGTCCGACCAAAATATCTACTGCTCAGGAAGTCGCTGGAAACATGAGAGCCATCCTGGCTGACTGGCTAGTACAGGCTCAGATGAAATTCAGGTTGCTGCAGGAGACCATGTACATGGCTGTTTCCATTCATTATCCATCAGTTCACACAGAATAACTGTGTGCCCAAGAAGATGCTACAGCTGGTTGGTATCACTGTCATGTTTACTGCAAGCAAATATAAAGAGATGTACCCTCCAGAAATTAGTGACTTTGCTTTTGTGACTGACAACAATTACACTAAGCACCAAATCAGACAGATGGAAATGAAGATTTTAGGAGCTTTAAACTTTAGTCTGGGTTCGCCTCTGCCCCTGCACTTCCTTGGGAGAGCATCCAAGACTGGAGAAGGTGATGTTGAGCAACATAGTCTGGCCAAATACCTGATGGAACTAATAACTATGTTAGACTACAATATGACGCACTTTCTTTCTCCCTTCTCAAATTGCAGCAGCAGCTTTTTGCTAGGCATTAAAGATTCTGAATAATGGTGAATGGCCACCAACTCTACAGCATTACTTATCAGATAACACTGAAGAATCCCTCCTTCCTGTTATGCACCACCTGGCTAAGAATATAGTCATGGTAAATCAAGGGCTACAAAGCACATGACTATCAAGAATAAGTATGCCACATCTAAACATGCTAAGACCAGCACTGTAGCACAGCTGAATTGTTCACTAGTCCAAGATTTAGTGAAGGCTGTGGCAAAGGTGTAACTTGTAAACTTGAGTACTATATCTGCAAATAAAACTGTACATTAAAAAAAATACCTCTTAAAAGCAAAACTATAATCCATTTTGACATATAAAGGTTTTACATAAAAATTCTCTAAAAGGAAACATAAGAAACAAATGTCAGTTTGTTTCTCGAAGTATTTCCTTTCCTATAGTTTGAATTGTTTTCTGAGTAGAGATTTTTTTTCAATTACTATGTCACTTTCTTACATTCTGTTTATAAACACCAAAATAAGTTAACAATTTACTTTCATCATTTTCTTGGTTTCACGATTGAGAACCATCTCCAATACAAATACATCCCCTGCAGTGGGCTGCTCAGGTGTTTCTTCCTCTTCCTCCTCTTCTTCCTCTTCCTCCTCCTCATCTTCATTCTCTCCAAGCATGGAAGCAAAGACCTTGTGAACCGACTTACTCACTCCATCTGATGTTTCTCCTGGGATAAGAGACATTGATTAAGGATGAGAAAGAAAGACAAATGGTATTTTCTGGGCTCGG